ACTGAAAAAAGGAAAATACCAAGTGTGGGCAGGGATATGGAGAAACTGGAATCCTGTACATTGTTGACAGGAATGTAAAATGGTGCAGCCATTGTGGAAAACACTTTGGAAATTCCTCCAAAGTTACACATAGAATTACCAGAAGACTCAGAAATTCCACTCCTAAATATACACTCCTAAAGAATTAAAAACAGGTACTCCAACAAATACTTGTACACAAATGTTGAAGCAGTGCTATTCACACAAGCCAAAAGGTGGAATCAATCCACAGGCCCATCAACAGATCAATGGCTAAGCAAAATGTGGTATATACATATAACAGAATATTACTCAGCCATAAATGAATGAACTACTGACACATGCTACAATATGGATGAACCTGTAAAACATTATGCTAAGTGAAAGAAGTCTGACACAAAAGGTCAGAAACCCTGTCTCTACTAAAAATACAAAAATTAGCTGGGCATAGTGGCGCATGCCTGTAGTCCCAGATACTTGGGAGGCTGAGGCAGGAGAATCACTTGAACCCGGGAAGCGCAGGTTGCAATGAGCTGAGATCATGCCACTACACTCTAGCCTGGGTGACAGAGTGAGGCTCCGTCTCAAAAAAAAAAAAAAAGAAAAAAGAAATACACGGGAGGCTATGAGAAAAAAACTCACAATGATAGTGAAAACTTTTAAAACACATTTTAAAATTTGACAGAAGAGACAAAAATATTTTAATAGTTCCTGATCACAATAAATAAGAAATTATTAATTACAAAAAAATTGTTTCCTACCTCTGTCCATTAAAACGACCCACTAATATTGACCAACCCAACAGTAGTGAGTACCCATAGAATTCAGGTTACAGACCCTGAATGTCATATGCTACAAAAGGAACTGGAGTTCCTAGGCAAATGGGTGATTCCAGGTCTGGGCCAAAAAATAATCCTGGAAAATCTATGCATATCAAAAAGCAAGGATGCTATCCAAAACTACTAGGGTAGTGTCTAAACTTAAAGAATTCCTACTAAACTTCAAGTGAGCATCATTAAGAAAAATGCAAAGGGCTAATATATATTAAATATATTAAAATTCATGAGTTCATAGATACATTTTTAAAATTCACTAATCATCTTTGGAGAATGCCTGGGAAATAACTCACTGTTCCAAAAACTGACAAATAATTAAGTATTTAACCTGACTTTCTTTTATAAGCTGTACCTCAAAGTAACTACTATATAATTGATGAAGAAATGTTTATCTCTAGAGTAGTATGCCAATTAACAAATGAAGAAGGATAAAAACAGATGATCACCACCGCAAATTCCTAAGGAAACAAAGGTCCTAGGCAATGATATCATCAATGGCTACTAACACCACAAAAAGATACAGCCAGACTTTAAGTTTTTACATTTGTTTGTTTGTTGTTGTTTTTGAGACAGGGTCTCTCTCTGTTGCCCAGGCTGAAGTACAGTGGCACGATTTCGGCTCACTGCAACCTCCGTCTCCTGGGCTCAAGCAATCCTCCACCTGAGCCTCCTAAGTAGCTAGGACTACAGGTGCGTGCCACCATACCTGGCTAATTTTTGTATTTTTTGTAGAGATGGGGTTTCATCATGTTGTTCAGGTTGGTCTCAAACTCCAGGGCTCAAGAGATCCACCCACCTCAGTCTCCCACAAGTGTTGGTTTTACAGGTATGAGCCACTGTGCCCAGCCCAGATTTTATGTTTATGTATCTCCTGGTACCTAAATACTACTACTTACAAGTATTCTTGACAAAGTCCTACCCGAAATAGATCACATCTCTAGATCTAACATCTGGTTTAAAGTACTATCGCAGACACAGCAACATGCTAAATGATACCAGCGGATGAAATCAGTAAAATTCTGAATGGGAGCCACTCACAGGACCAAAAAAACCCTGGTTTCTTTAACCAAAAACAGTAGCAAAAAGAGATTACAAAGAACATAAAAGGGAGGAGGAAAATACAGATTAAAATAAACTTAAGGGACGTTATTAATGAAATGCAATGTCCAAACTTTGGATCCAAATTCAGGCAAAATAAATGCAATAATAACAACAAATTATGAGACTACTAGAGGAATTTAAGCAGTAATTAGATATTTTATAATATTAAATAACTGTCACCTATTTTCTACCTTTGATAATGACATTGTAGTTATGTTTGTCTTTCTAAAAATGAGTCCCTAAGATAATGAAATATTTACAAATTAGGATGTATTTACAAAAGGACAACATGGTGCCTGATATGTGCTTCAAAATAATTCAGTGTCAGAGGATTGGGAAGGGGAGGTAGAGGTATAAAATGAAATACGACTGGCTACCAAATGAAGATTTTTGAAGCTAAATGATGAGTACACAAGAGGTCACTACAGGACAGGTTACGCATCCTTAATCGGAAAATCCAAAAATCCCAAATGCTCCAAATTCTGAAACTTTTTGACCACTGACATGACATTCAAGGATTTCAGATTTGGGATACTCATAATGCAGATATTCTTACAAACCACCCAAAATCCAAAATCTGAAGCACTTCTGGTGCAAACAATACAAAAAAAAAAAGACTTTCAAAAATGGTTAATTAAAAAAAATTGTTTCTTGCCATTCAATCTGAAGAATCACAGATAAACTTACTATATGAGAGCTTATCAATTCAGTTAAAATTTTCAATCCTCCATAACATTTTGATCACTTTCATTAAGCCTCTATAGCCTGAACTTTTGGAAACTTTCCCTGTAATCAATTGCAGCCTTATTGTTTCACTAGTCCAGGCACTGGCAAATGTCAGGGCTGCAGCCTGTTTCTGTACAGACCTCAAGCTAAGAATAGTTTTTATACTTTAAAGGGTTATAAAAAGTAAAAAATAAAAAAGACTATTCAACAGAGGTCATATATGGAGGACACTCCATTAATGAATAACAATCAAGACTCTGCCAGAAGCCCATCATCCCAAACTAAATTTATACTTGAGAAGCCCGAAAGTTCTTAAAGACCAGAAAAGAGTAATATAAACATTGTAATTTGTTTAAAAAACCACAATGCCCTTTTATATGTATGTTGAAACTCACATAAGTTGTGTGCATTATTTTACTGTATGTGAGCTTTTATCCACATTTAAGTTCCAAAATAAACAAAGGAAACACTGAAAAAGGATAAACAAACAATAAATCACGCCACAAATTTTCCTTAACTTTAACTGATATCTAAAAAATAGATACAGTTTAAAATCACTGTTGATAGTACATGGATGATCTCTGCCTCTGAAGCAAGGAGCTCAAAGCTCAGTCAAACACAGATCACAAACTTACAAGAATTTCAGAATTGGAAAGATTTATTAGAGGTAACCTATTCTTATCTCCTTGGTTTACAGACAAAGAAGGGAGATGAAGAGACTTTCAAACAGCTAATAAGCTGTATAAAAAGGCCTAGGAAAACAATGTAAGGAAGTCTGTAACTTTCCTATTACATATAAAGTGGTTACTTTCTTAGTTATATTCAGATCTATTTTAAGCCTGGTCCCTGAGAAATATGATTGCACAACACTCCTCAGCTAAGAACCAACAGGAGATCATATTTTCTGTTTCCTTAGTCACAAAAGCTGACCCTGACCTCTCTCCACTGAATTATAGCTAATCATCAAGCCCCAAGGGACCCAAAACTATGTTCCCAACTCTAACTAAGGTTAAAATGAACTCCTCCCTCCAATTTTTTCCTGAGAGATCTGGCAACTTCCATGCATATTTGTTTTGATTAGGTAGTATGGATGCTGCTGCTAACAGGAATAGAAAAAAGAAAAATATGTGAGTACATAAAGCCAGGAATCTTTTTGAAAACAAACTGAATTTTATTACTATTTAAAAACTGTTCATTTATTCACTGTTAGTTATACTCAATCTTTTGCCTCTTAGATTCACGAAGACTTATCAGTATCTCCAGTTCAAACGTTCCCAAGTATATAACTTTTAATGTGTAATGGGATTCTATTTCTGCAATTGAATTTCTATTACTACCAACAATGCATGAGGAATTCCTAGGTTTTAATAGTGATAATCCTCTTTGCCTGGATTAGTCTCACTTTGAGTAAAACCTTTATGAATTAGGCAAGTTTTCAAATGAAGTTTTTGGTTAATTTACCTGTAAAACTGAAAAATATCCACATTACCTACCCCGCAGGAGTACCCGTGAGGGTGAAGAAATTACAACGTGATACAAATGTAGGCATTATCCTAAAAGAGAAAGAATGCTGGCCTGCTGTGGTGTGTCACACCCATAATGCTAGCACTTTGGGAGGTCGAAGTGGGTGTTTTGCTTGAGTCCAGGAGTTTGAGACTAGCCTGGGCAAAATGGTGAAACTCCGTCTCTACAAAAAATGAAAAAATTAGCTGAGCATGGTGGCATGCACCTGTAGTCCCAGCTACTCAGGAAATTGAGGTGGGAGAATTGCTTGACCTCCGGAGTTCAAGGATGCAGTGAGCTGTGATCATGCCACTGCACTCCAGCCTGGGCAACAGAGCAAGGTCTTATCTCAAAAAAATGTAAATAAAAAAGAATGCAACCATCTGGTTTCACCAAAGTCATTTTCTTTATGAGGGTAATATGATCATAAATATATTAACTTAGACTTAAAAATGGTCAAGATGGTAAATTTTGTTATATATTTTTTGACAATTAAAAATAAAAATTACAAAATATTCCTTCCATTGATAGATGAGTGGATGAACAAAATGTGGTATACACATACCATGGAATATTACTGAGCCCTAAAAAGGAACGAAAATCTGACACACACAACATGGATAAACCTTGAAGACACTGTGCTAAGTAAAAAAGCCAGATGCAAAAGGACAAACACTGTATGATTCCACTTATATGATGACAGTTGCATACACTGTGAACTGTATTTAATCCCACTGAACTGTATACATAAATGGTTAAAATGTTATAATAAATTTCATGTTATGCATATTTTACCACAATAAAAAAAAATATTACCTTGAAGGTCTCCGATCATCTCAGAATCATGACCTCTGTCCCTTCGTTCAGCTTCCAATATAGCTTGCAGCTGGTAATAATCTTTGTCTGTTTGTGACTTAGAATTCTCTAAAAGTCGATTTCTCTCTTGCAACTCTCTGTTCAGGGACTCTAACTGACTAATTGACTTGCTCATTTCTGTGTGACTCTTCCTCAGTCTTACAGCTGTGTCTGATTCTGTCCTAAGTAAGTCATTGGCTTCTTCTAGCTATTTAAAAAAGAAAGAAAGAAAATAGGTTTCTGACCAAAGTACAATACAATTTAATTATCTACATTTTTTTAAAAAAAGGAACCTCATTTGAAACACTTACCTGCTTTTGTAACTGGGACAGCTTCTCATTAGCAAGTTGTGAATTCTGACTTACTTTCTTTAAGTCTTCCAACTGATCCTTTAATGTAGAAACTAGAAAATGAAAGAATAATATATAGAAATTACAAAATTTTCATAGTGGAAACATATAAATCCTTTTTTAAAAAATGACATTTAGTCTTAGGCCATAACAGTCAGCTACATTAGGTCCACTCCCAAAGCCAAATTCCAATTTGGAAGTACTTGCATTTTACATTCATTAAAAAGTAGAACATCATTTTATAATACAGAGTGCAAAAACAGATTTCTTCTCACTATTGTAAATCTCAAACTCCATCTCCTTTATTCCCTTTATAAGATCACTCTGTTAGTGTAATTATAAAGCTAGTTTTAATATTATTTTTCAATAGATCAATTGCTTGATAATTCAATATCTTAATACAAAATTTAACAGGTATCAAATGGCAGATAGTATAAGGCTTCCTTTCTCCATTTAGTCATTTTTGCTCCTTGTGAGTCTCCCTTAACTGACTCTCCTCCCTAATATATATTTAATTTAAGCATATATAGACAAGTACTCTTGTTTTAAACACAAGCAATCTGTACTTTGTTTTTGTCACTTAAAGATATATCTTAGAGATTGTTTCATACCAGTATTTAAGGAGATGATTTTTTTTATAAGCTGCATAGTATTCTACCATATAGATGTACTAAAATTTATTACAGCATTGATTACCTTTATGTTTCATATGTGTTACATTATGTTTCATATAAGCATTGATTGCATTTTTTTTGTCATTTTAAGCAATGCTACAATGAATAGCCTTGTGTATATATCAGTTTGCAGTATGAGTATGTATGTAAAATAACTTATGGAAGTGAAATCACTGCATCAATGGGTGTAGAAAGGTATTTTAAATATATTTGTAATAGGCATTAAAACACAAGAAATCCTAGTTTAGCAGTTCTTAGACGCAGCTGCTTGTTATAAGTACCTAGGGGGCTTGTAAAAAATAATGATACTCAGGCCACATATCTAGACCAATTAAATTAGAATCGCTGGGATTTAGGCATCAGTACTCTTTAAAGCTTCCCAGGAGATTCCAGTATGCACACCATGATGACAATCACTACTCTAGTTAAACACTACTTACTATTTACTTTAATATGTTATAAATTTAACTTGAGATCTGGGTTATTTAGCTTATAAAGTGTCTTAGGACTGTAGCTTTATGTACGTATCATGGACACTAAATTAAAGACAACCTCATGACAATGTTAGAAATTTTATCATTTTTCAAAAGTAGTGACAATTCACCTTCATTTTCTACATTTCTTCTCTTCTCATTTTCCTGTTCAGCTTTTCTTTGGTACTCATTAATTCTATGCTGTAGCAACATTTTCTCCTTCTCAATCTGAGACACTGTAGATTCTAGATTTCTTCTTTGATTTCCCTGAAATTATAATGATAAAAGTTACCATTGTGATTAATACTCTCGTCATTTATTCAAGAGAGTATTTTGTTTTTAAAAACAAAAAAACAAGAAAAAAAAAAAAACAAGAAAAAACCAGACAAACACCTAAGACGAATGTTCTGCTTCAAAAGCAAATAGTATCTCCTAATACAACTTTCTAAATAGCTTGCCTTTTAAGAAGACAGTGAGACTCTGCTTACTTGAACTTGATAGGTAAAATTTTCAGAGACTTCTGGCTCCAAAAATTTAAAATACAACCCTGTGAATCTTTTCAGACTGAAAGCCACTCTCTAAGTTTAAGACAATCATATTGTGTTACCAATATTTTGGCATAACAATCCCAAATTTAAGGAATGAAATAAAGTGATGAAAAGCTCAAACATTACCAGATGGTACAGAATGTGCAGTGAGTTCACCATTTCCTCGATGTCTCCTTTAATCCTATCTCTGTCAACAACAACTTGCTTATCTTTCTAAGATGTTCTAGGTATCTACCCACCAATGTGTATTAAAAAGCAATCAAGGAAATTGTTATTTAGTAAAAGAAACTACCGGAGAGAGGAGGATTAAAATACCAATTTGTTTTGTCTATTTTTTTTTTATTTTTTTGAGACAGATTCTCACTCTGTTGCCCAGGCTGCAGTGCAGCAGCGCAATCTTGCCTCACTGCAACCTCCGCCTCCAGGGTTCAAGTGATTCTCGTGCCTCAGTCTCCCAAGTAGCCGGGACTACAGGGATGCACCACTGTGTCTGGCTAATTTTTCTATTTTTGGTAGAGACAGGTTTTGCCATGTTGGCCAGACTGGTCTTGAACTCTTGACCTCAAGTGATCCACCTGCCTCAGCCTCCCAAAGTGCTGGGATTACAGGCATGAGCCACCATGCCCAGCCTAAAATACCCACATTTTTACAACTTAAAAGTGTACCTTTCTCAGTTACCACTACCAGTAAATCTTGTTTTTGATGCTTCACTTTTTAAGACACCACATTAGGAAACCTGTTTTATAGTGTTTCTGGGCTTTCTCATCTTTAAGCAAAAATTGGACATAAATCATTCAAGGTCTTTCTGATTCTAAGAGTTCATCATTCTAACTTTAATTTTTAGATAATTATACATTCAAAGAAAGTTGCAAAGATAGTACAGAGAGATCCCAAGTGCCCTTCCACTCAGCTTCCCCCAGTAGTTACGTTACATATAACAATAGTACAATAACAAAATCAGAAAATTCTCACTGGTATAAGGTGTGTATAGTTCTGTCATTTTATCACATATGTAGGTTCATGTAAGCACCACCACAATGAAGATACAGAACTGGTCATCACAACAATCTCTTTCCAGTCACTAGTTATAGCTACATCCATCCCTGTTCTCCCACCACCCATACTCCTGGCATCTAATGGTTCTCCATTTCTATAATTTTGTCTTTTTGAGAATGTTATATAAATGGAACCATGCAATATATGAGTTTTTGAGACAGTTTTTTTTTTTTTGTATTTTTAGTAGAGATGGGATTTCACCATGTTGGTCAGGATGGTCTCAACTTCCTGACCTCGCGATCTGCCTGCCTCGGCATCCCAAAGTGCTAGGATTACAGGCCCGAGTCACCGTGCCCAGCCAAGACAGGTTTGTTTTTTTTTTAACTCAACATAAAGTCCTTAAAATCCATCTATGTATTGTATGTATCTACAGTTCATTCCTTCTTGTGGCTGAGTATTCTATGGTACAAATGTACCAAAGTTTGTTCAACCATTCACCTATTGTAGAACATTTTGATTGTTTTCAGTTTTCGGCTATTACAAATAGAGCTATTATAAACATTAGTGTACAGGTTTTGGTGAGAATATAAATTTTCATTTTTCTGGAATAAATGCCCAAGAATACAATTGCTAGGTCACATAGTAGGTACATGTTTAGTTTTTCAGGAACACAGTCAATTGGTTTTCCAGAATGTCTGTACCATTTCATATCCCCATCTGCAATGTCCAAGTGATCTAGTTTCTCCATATCCTTGCCAGTTTGTTATTGACATAATTTTAAAACTTACTGCTTTTCCATAGTTATGGAGTAATATTTTATGGTAATTTTAATTTGCACTTCCCAAATGACTAATTACGTGAACCTCTTTTCACATGGTATTTGTCATCCATATTATCTAAAAAGTTTTAAAAGTATGGATTCACTTTCCTTAACACTTATATAGGGCTACTGAAATTACCTATTTCACACTGTATGAGTTGTGGTAGTTTGTTTTTTGAGAAGTTAGTCCCTTTCATCTAAATGTCTTAATTGTGTTTAGAACTGTTCATAGTATTTCCTTATGATTCTTTTGATACCTATATGGTCTATAGTATATGCCCTAGCCCTATTTCATTCCTCATACTGGTAATTTGTGTCCTCTCTTTTTCCTTTATCAGTCTTGCTAGAGGTTAATTTTGTTGATCTTTTCACACAGTTTTTTGTTTCACTGTTTTTCTCTATTGTTTTCCTGCTTTTAACTGCATTGTTCTCTGCTCTTATTGTTACTTGTCCTTCCTTTTGTTTGTTTTGGGTTTATTTCACTCTTCTTATTCTCGTTTCCAGAAGTAGGAGTTTAAATTATTGATTTCAGACTTCTCCTCTTTCCTAAGGTAGGCATTTAGTGCTATAAATTAACCTTCTTCACTATGTTAACAGCATCTCACAAATTCTGATGATGTATTTTCACTTCACTGTTTAAACATTTTTTAAAGATGAAGAGCCGTAACAGTTTTATGAGACATAATTAACATTCCAATGTATTTTTTTCACTGAGACTTCTTTGACCTCTGGATTATTTAGAAGTTTGTTGTTTGCTTTCCATGTGTTTGCAGATTTTTCTGTTATTCTCATCTGTACATTTTGGTCAGGAAACTCTCTGTATGATTTCAGTGCTTTCAAATGTGTTTGTTTTATAGCTTGGCATGTAGTCTACCCTGGTGTGTGTTCCTTAAGCACTTGAAAAGAAGGCATATTCTGCTGTTAAGTAGAGAGTTCTGTAAATGTTGAACAAATTCTGATGGCTGACAGTGTGGTTGAGTTCTCAAATGTTTGGTAATTCTTAGGGGTGTTGAAGTCTCCAACAATATTTATGGATTGGTCTATTTCTCCTTTCAGTTTTATTAACTTTTGCTTCACACATTTTGTAGCTCTTTTGTCTAGTGTACAGTTAGGATTTTTATTTATTTTTGGTGGCTTAACTCTTATAATTATGTAATACTCCTCTATGCTCATGGTAGTTTTCTTTGCTCTGAAGTCTACGTTAAGGTATTAACATTGCCAATAGTGCTGCTTTCTTTTTAATATTTGTATGCTATCTCTTTACATCTTCTGATATTCAACTTCCCTATATTGTTATATTTGAAGAGTTTCTGACAGATACATAAATGGGGGATTTAAAAAAATCTATGCCTATCACCTCTTTTGATTGGTATTCCATTTACTTTCCATTTAATGTCATTATTGGTAGTATGTTAGGGTTAAATCTGCCATTTTTGTTTGATCTCTGTTATTTCTACATTTTCTTTCCTGTCTTTCTGTGGTTACCTAAACATTATTTTAGCATTCCTTTTGATTTACCTACGGTGTTTTTGAATGTATCTCCTTGTAAGGCCTTTCAGTGGCTGCCATAGATATTACATTGTATATGCATAGCTTAATATATAGTACGCTCTACTGGTATTGGCATCTTACCAGTTAAAGTATAAAAACTTCCCCTTTCTTTTTTAAATTTTTATCTTATTTTTGAGAAAGGGTTTCACTCTGTCACCCACGCTGGACTACAGTGGTATGCTTATGGCTCACTGCAGCCTCAACTTCCTGGACTCAAGTGATCCTCCCACCTCTGCCTCCCTAGTAGCTGCGACTACAGGCGTGCACTACGACACCTGGCTAATTTTTGTATTTTTTGTAGAGATGGGGTTTCACCTCGTTGCTCAGGTTGGTCTTGAACTCCTGGGCTCAAGCAATCCGCCGGGATTACAGACATGAGCCACCACACTTGACCTAAAAACTTTACCTTTCTTTATGACCCATTATTCTCTGTTTATAATGCCTAAAATATTTTTTCTCATACACAGAGAATCATATTAGACAATATAATTTCTGCTTCAACTGCCTATTATAAAAAAAATCAAGAGGAGAAAGAAATGTATTTACCCATATTTTACTCTTTCTTTATTCCTAGTAATTCAAAATTCCTCCTTTTTCTTTTGGAGACAGTCTTGCTGTGTCACCCAGGCTGTAGTGCAGTGGTGCGATCTTGGCTCACTCCAACCTCCACCTCCCAGGTTCAAGCAATTCTCTAGCCTCAGCCTCCTGAGTAGCTAGGATTACAAGCATGCGCTACCACACTTGGCTAATTTTTTTTGTATTTTAAGATGGGGTTTCGCCATGTTGGCCAGGCTGGTCTTGAACTTCTGGTCTCAAGTGATCTGCTCACCTCAGCCTCCCAAAGTGTTGGGATTACAGATGTGCGCCACCCCTCCTGGCCAAGATTCCTTCTTTTATCATTTCCTTTCTGTTTAGAGAATTTTTTCTAGCAATTCCTTTAGGGAAGGTGTGCTGGTGACACACTATCTTAGTTTTTCCTCATCTGAGAATGTTGTCATTTTCATTTGAAAAGGATATTTTAATTGAACACAGAATTCTGAGTTGATAGGTTTGTTTGTTTTTTTAGCACCTGAAAAAATCATGCCACTTCCTCCTGGCCTCCATGGTTTCTGGTAAGAAATCAGCTGTCATTTACACTGTTCTTTCCTTTCTAGGTAAGGTGTGTCCTGTATTTAAGATTTCTTTTTTGTCATTAATTTTCAGAAATCTGGCTATTGTGTCTTGGTGTGGATATCTTTGGATTTACACTTTTTGTGGTTCGTTAAGCTTCTTGGTGGTTTATGTCTTCTGTTAGTCAGTTCAGGTCTTTTGTCAAATTTGTTGAATTTTCCATTATCATTTCTTCCCACCCCCGTCTCCTCTCCTTTAGTAATTCGAGTGACATGAATGTGAGAACTTTATTGTTATAGTTCTACAGGTCCCAGAGGCTCTGCCACTTTTTTTCTGACCATTTTCTCTCTATTGTTCAGACTGTATAATTTCTATTTTTCTTTGTTGAAGGTCTCTGATTCGTTCCTCTGCATTGTTCACTCTGCTGCTGACACCATCTATTAAGACTTTTATTTCAGTTATTGCAATTTTTGGTTGGCTCTATTTTATACTATGTCTTTCTGAGACTATTTTTTTTGCTTATTTATATGTTTGTAGTTGCTCACTGAAACATATTTATGATGATTCCTTTAAATCCTTGTCAGATAATTCTAACATCTGTGTCGTCTGAGCGTTGATATTAGTTTATTATTGTTTCTCATTCCAGTTAAAATTTTCCTAGTTCTGATTATGATGAGTAGTTTTCTATTCAAACCTGGACATCATCTTACAACATTCTGGATCTTATTTAAAATCTCTTTTAGAAGGTCTCCTCTGACACTGTTCTGGTGAAACTAAGGGGGTGCTGCCTCTTTTCCGCCAGGTGGAGTTTGGAGAAGTCCAGGTTTTCCACTCAGCCTCTACTGACACCTCAGGTGGGGAGGGGAGCAGATCCTTATCATTGCTGCGTGGAAGCAGGAGTTCTGGCGCTCTACCAGGCCTCCATCGAGTGCACCATGGCTGCTCCTCATGTGGCCCCCACAGATGACACTGCATTGTGGAGGGGAGCTTGTTATTTTCAGTCGAAAGTTCTAATCCCTACCATGCCTCTTTTGAAACCAACCCAGAAGGCAGTGGGAGGGGCACTCCATTACTGCCAGCTGGGAGTGTAAGTGCAGATTCCCCACATGGTCACTGCTAAGCTGTCTGGGGAGAGAAGGAAGGTTTGTTACTGCCCACGGGAGATGAAAATTCGTTTACTGGGCCTTCTCTGACACTATTCTAATTGGAAGTTGGGGTGTGCTACAGCATAGTGGAGATGGAAATCTGGACTTGCCACTCAGCCTTTGCTGTTAAGAATGGGGCTACCGTTTTTCTGTGGTGTTTGGCTGAAAAAAGCAGCGACAGTGTAAGTTTTCTGATTTGCTAGCCTGCTCCTTTTCTGGTCTTTAGGCTAAGGAAATTAGCCTTTTTTGGAGCTTTGTCTGCAATTGTTGATATTTCAAGGTTGCTGGCTTCTCCAGCACCCTGTCTAAGATACATGCAGCAAAACGAAAACCCTGAAGGTTCATTCATGTGTTGTTTCTCAGGATACAAGTAACCTAGGCTGGTTTGCCTTCTTTCCAACTTTCAAAATCTTTTTATGTTTGCTTTATATTTAATGTTTAGGGTTTTTAGCTGTATTTACTGGGAGGAATACGGAAAGGTACTTTTACTCCATCTTTCTAGAAGTGAGACTATTTTAATTTCATACCGCAAATGTCCCTCTCTACTTCTAATTTGGAAAAATGAATAACTTAAATCTAGCACATCTGAATTTTATCTGTGTTTTAAAAGTTAAATGTAAGTGGAAGACATGCAAAAAAGGACTCCTTAAACATTCAGAGTCAAATATATACTGCTAAGGCTAAATACAAAGGCAAGTTAGTAAAATGCTATCTAAATCTTCATAGATGATTACATGGATATCCAAAGCCACCCACGAAAGAAAGCAAGCCATTGACAGATACCATTCTATAAGGGAAGAAAAAATTAACACAGCATAAAAACTATCAGAGATTAAACCTAAAAAAGGACAAAATAATATATTAGGAGAAGACTATAGAGAGTGTATTTCTTTTCATGGGACTCATAGACACAGTAGAAATATACTTAGAAGTTGACTAAGAGGAATGGAAATGTATTACATATTTGCAAACAAACATCTGAATTATGAATGCTTGTTATTGTTTCTCTGATAATAAAAAAATTTTGACAGGTAACCATGGAAAAGATGAACATTCTAAAATCAATATATTTTCCATTTGATTACATGAGATTATGTCAGTGTTAATCTTTTAAAAATATTTTAAACTGTGTTTCTCTCTTTTCCTTATTTGTCTGTCTCTTTCTGATACAGTTTGAGATTCAATTTCTGATAGCTTGCTTCTCTGGCTCCTTTCTCACATTTCAACCATCAAGAACCACTGAACTGAAATTTACATACTAAAATTTCAATATGGCTGTAGAATACAATTGTACAAAGGAAATTAAACTATAATCTAATCTGTAACACTTGAAACTGCAGTTCCAAGGTAAGGCTCTCATCACAATTCTCTGGCTCTGTTTTGTGTTTCAAACTACAGAGTTTAAATATAATTTTCTCTGGAAACGAAACAATTTGAAAGACAGAAAAATCTCAAAAAGGAAACTTCTGATTAGAAAACAAAAAGTACCTCTTCATCCAATTCTTTCATTATCTTGTCTAGTTTTATGTTTGAGGTTCTGTAAAAACAAAAGCAATACAGATTAGAAATATATTTATTTCCTATTGCCCAGTATTAAACACTCACATTTCCTTACTTTTCCACTTAACTAGAGTTTTGTATCCTTTTTTGGTGCCATGGATCTCTTTGGCAGTCAAGTGAAGCCTATGGCCTTTTTCCAAAATATTTTTTGAAGCACAAAAATTATATATGATTAAAAGACAATTAGGCCAGGTGCAGTGGCTCACGTATGTAATCCCAGCACTTTGGGAGGCCGAGGCGGCTGGATCATCTGAGGTCAGGAGTTCGAGACAAGCTTGGCCAACATGATGAAACCCCAACTCTATTAAAAATAAAATTTTAAAAAATTAGCCAGGCATGGAGGCAGGCGCCTGTAATCCCAGCTACCTGGGAGGCCAAGGCAGGAGAATTGCTTAAACCTGGGAGGCAGAGGTTGCAGTGAGCCAAGATCGTGCTACTGCACTCTAGCCTGGGTGATAGAGAGTCCATCTCCAAAAAAAAAAAAAAAGGAGCCAATTATATTGAAATACAGTAATAAACTTTTAAAAAGCATGTATAATTCAGTAGTATATATGCTTCTTTATTAATATATTAAATCACAAGATCTAGTGGCAGTAATTTCAAAGTACTGATGAGCATAAATGATATTTAGAGATAGCTGTAACAACTGTAATAAGAAAACATCTATAATTTCTATTGGTAATAAAAATTAACAACTACTGCTAATAACTGAATTGCTGCCTATGCTCAGAATTGAAAACAAGTGCTAAAATTAAGTTACAAGTTAGAGAAAACATTCACCTTTTCTCATCCAAGTTTAAAGACTTCAAATTTCATCCATGGACTCTTTGGGGGAGGTCTATGGATCTCAGGTTAAGGATCCCTAAACTCCATCATGCAATACTTGCCACTACTCAAAAATCAGCCATTTATCCTTTAATACAGGATAAAGTAAATGAAGAGAAAGGTAGCATATATCAAATCAATTAAGGCACCATTTGTCAACACTCAGGGTATTATCTTCATTACAATTTGCTTTCTTTGGTTCAAAATGTAATTCTGAGCTTCAAAACCTATATATGCAACATTTTCACATGGATGTCTCATCAAAAACCTCATTCAGCATCTCCAAAATGGAACTTACTGCCTCCGTTCCACACTCCCACCCCAATACCAATTTGCTTCTCTTCTAGAGTCCCTAAGTAAATGACATTACCTAGGAATTATCCTTGACTCATCTTCCCTCACTCCCACTTAGTTGAATAAAGTCCCAAATGCTGCTAATTAAGCAGGAACTTCTTTTGAAACAGCAAATTTAATATATATTTTTTACTTATTAGTTTAATGACTTTTGGTGTTTTTCCGTCACACTTAAAATAAATTCCAAATTTCTTAGTCCCCCCCGCCCCCAAAAAAGAGAAAAAAAAAAGAATCTTCCCCAATCTAGACCTTGCCATCCTCCCCACTCTCATCTCAGGCTTTTCCTTCCCTCGCATCTTACAGGCCAGTCAAGGTCTCTTACCTCATGGCCTTCACAGATACTCACCTCCTGGACCCTAACACTTCCTTCCACTCTTCTCCTAATAATTTCCACTGACTCTTCTGGTTTTAGCTTTCTCTGATCTCTGACAAAACAGTACAGGCATCTCCTGATGTATTCCTGATATTCCTGTATAATTTTATTCTCTCCCCAATTAATACATACCACACTTCTTGATAATTACTTATTTTTCTTGCTAAATTACAAGCTCCTTGTGGAGAGGGGCCATGTCTTGATTTATTCAGTACTATATTGTTGACAAGCACATTATCTTGACACTTTAACTGAAATTTTTATTGAACAAATGAATGTAACTAAAATGATTTGAATGCAGAGAATTTGATTTAAAGAAATGCAAGTAAATATCACTCCACAATCCCTAGCACTAGGTTTTTATTTTAAAAACTATTTACCAATTTAATACATACTTTTAAAAAGTTTCATCTCAATTTTATTTCCTTGAGGTGACACATTTTCACAAGATTATTAGCCACTTCAGCCATTCTTATTACTTCCTCAAACTGATCCCTACTCACCATTACTACCAGTTTGTCACTTGTCTTTTAATTTTGTTTAAAATTTTTTGGGGGCCGGGAGTGGTGGCTCATGCCTGTAATCCCAACACTTTGGTAGGCCGAGGCGGGTGGATCACCTGAGGTCAGGAGTTTGAGACCAGCCTGGCCAACATGGTGAAATCCCGTCTCTACTAAAAATACCAAAACTAGCCGGGCGTGGTGGCTTGTAATCCCAGCTACTGGGGGGGCTGAGGCAGAAGAATTGCTTGAACTCGGGAAGCAGAGGTTGCAGTGAGCCGAGATTGCGCCATCGCACTCCAGTCTAGGGGACAAGTGTGAGACGTTGTCTCAAAAAAAAAAAAAAAAAAAGGATGTAGAGACTTCTCAACATTTATATAACAGTATCTACCCAGTTCTTCCCCTTATTTTCATATTTTATATTTAGAAATTCTTTCCAAATCCTGGGATCCGTTAATTATTTGCTTATATTCAAATACTTTTTTAAAAAAAAGTTTGTATTGGCCGGGCACGGTGGCTCACGCCTGTAATCCCAGCACTTTGGGAGGCCGAGACGGGCGGATCACGAGGTCAGGAGATCAAGACCATCCTGGCTAACAGGGTGAAACCCCGTCTCTACTAAAAATACAAAAAAAAAAAAAAATTAGCCGGACGTAGTAGCGGGCACCTGTAGTCCCAGCTATTATGGAGGCTAAGTCAGGAGAATGGCGTGAACCCGGGAGGCGGAGCTTGCAGTGAGCCGAGATCGTGCCACCGCACTCCAGCCTGGGTGACTGAGCAAGACTCCATCTCAAAAAAAAAAAAAGAAAAAAAAAAGTTCGTATTATACACTTAACCATATAATCTATAAAGAATGGTTGGCTGGGCGCAGTGGCTCAAGCCTGTAATCCCAGCACTTTGGGAGGCCGAGACGGGCAGATCACGAGGTCAGGAGATCCAGACCATCCTGGCTAACACGGTGAAACCCCGTCTCTACTAAAAAATACAAAAAACTAGCCAGGTGAGGTGGTGGGCGCCTGTAGTCCCACCTACTCGGGAGGCTGAGGCAGGAGAATGGCGTAAACCCGGGAGGCGGACCTTGCAGTGAGCCAAGATCCGGCCACTGCACTCAGCCTGGGTGACAGAGCGAGACTCCGCCCCCCCGCAAAAAAAAAAAAAAAAAAGGAATGGTTAAAAGTGAGAATTTTACCTGTTTCGTACCAAACCCCCCCACCTGCTCTGTCACAAAATTACCAGCGTTCCCAATTTTATTTGTTGAATACTTTTTGTGTTACCTTTGCATTTCATTTATTCAATACTATTCACTAAAAACATAAATAATTATACAAAAGTATTGCTTATAATTGATAAGTAATTCAGTATTAAGATAGGTTATTTAAATTAATCTTGAGCATAACTCAAAGATATTTTTTCTGTGGGTCTAATGCCAATAACATGCTGAAATTAGACCCGCAGAAAAAAATACTCTGAGTTACTGCTCCAGAGAACCACAGTGGAAATTAGAATGGCCACATCAAAAATTTAGTATATTTTAATCTTCAACATTTTACATGTCAAAAAGCACCTTATTTAATGTAAACTAATTTCCCCTTTATTTATTTTTCTTTTTGAGACAGAGTCTTGCTCTGTTGCCCAGGCTGGAGTGCAATGGCGTGATCTCGGCTCACTGCAACCTCTCCCTCCTGGGTTCAAGCAATTCTCATGCCTCAGCCTCCCAAGCAGCGGGGACTACAGGTGTACACCACTGTGCCTAGCTGATTGTCTGTATTTTCAGTAGAGATGCAGTTTCGCCATGCTGGCCTGGTTGGTCTTGAACTCATGCCCTCAAGTGATCCACCATGCCCAGCCTAATTTGCCTTTTTAGTTAGCTAATTATGTAACGAGAAAAAAGCAGTAAATCCGGCAACTAAATGAATTAGCATTATAGTTTTTTAAGAATACAGACTGTTGGCCAGGCGCGGTGGCTCACACCTGTAATCCCAGCACTTTGGGAAGACAAAGCAGGTGGATCACAAGGTCAGGAGATCGAGACCATCCTGGCTAACATGGTGAAACCCCGACTCTACTAAAAATAAAAAAAAATTAAAAAAAATTAGCCGGGCATTGTGGCAGGTGCTTGTAGTCCCAGCTACTGGGGAAGCTGAGGCAGGAGAATGCCATGAACCCGGGAGGTGGAGCTTGCAGTGAGCTGAGATCGTGCCACTGCACTCCAGCCTGGGCAACAGAGTGAGACTCTGTCTCAAAAAAAAAAAAAGAATACAGACTGCCAGGAACAAATGTACTTTAAATATTCTGAGGAAAATACATCTATAACTAAGCCAACATAAATAGAACTTCTCAATTCTAGCCAAGACACATCATGAATGTATTATCAGTAGTAATCTTTACACCCTCATTTTCTATCTACTTTCAGATGTTTGCAGGGTATAAGCTTTCAAATAAGTATTTGGTATGTAAAACTTTTAATATGAAAAACTTCAAGTATATTCTCACCTGCACTTCTGCTCCATTTCATCTTTTAACTGCATTTCATTATGCAGCTGTTCTTCCAGCTTATAGATTGTTTTCTGCAAACTTTCCTGCTTTAAAACAAAAACAAAAATTCATTCTACTAAGAATATTTAGACATTTAAAATATCAAGTCTATGTTAATATTTTAAACCTTTTTAGAAAATAATTTAATCTTACCTCTTTTCTATCTCAATTTTTTTATTATCAATTTAACAAGCATTTTCTTAATATCTACTAAATGTTAGGCCATTAGAAATACAAACATTAAAAAGATTTGGTTCCTGTTCTCATGAAGCAAATAGTTACACAGTGAGGCAAAGTTAAATTGGAAGAGAAAAAAGAACCTACAATGTCTCAAATAAATATACACAAAATATTACAACAGACTTTGGTAAACAATAATAAAATTATCTACAGAGTGTTCTGAAGGAAAGAAAAGGTCACTTCTAACTCTGCCAAGAATATATAATCCTTAAGTTGAGGCCTAAAAAGGTAAGAGGAACTGATAATCTGATAAAGCAAAGAAGGTGGTACAAGGAAGGCATTTTAGCTAGAATGAACAATGAGCCCAAACGTAGAAAGGCAGAAGAAAATACGATACATTTGGGAAATGGAAAGAAATCAAGTACTATAGCAGAGCACAGAATGTAACAGGAAAAACAACTCACTTTACGTCTAAGAAGGTAATGATCCTTGCATGCACAAACTGGAGTTAGGGACTTTTTAACCCATAAACATTTTAAATGAGAAATGACATAATGCTGGCACCTCAGAAACATCACTACAATAATAAGGTGAATGAACAGCTTAGAGGGCAGTGAAGTTCTAAGAAGAGCAAAAAGTTAAAAAGCTATCAAAAGAGTTCAGACAAGAGAATATGGATCTGATAAAAGGCAGAGTCTATAGGAATGAAGAGGAAGTAATGGATAAAGGTATCAATCAGAAAGCATAACGTATGACCAAACCAATTGAAGTTAGAACAGATATACCATTATGAAAGACAGTCAACACATTGCTAGGGAGGGAATGGGGACAGGAAAACAATGAGTTTAGCTCTGGCCTAGTTTCATATGCCTGAGAAGTATACAGAAGAGACAGAAAGATTCAGGGCTGGAGCTCAGACGAGCAAGCTGGACATGAATGAGATTACCTACAGAGAAAGAGCAGAGAGCCAAGATCAGAACTTTGGGAAATGTTTAATAATTGAAAGTAAGCAGAGAAGGAAGATCCTGAAAAGGGGATTGAAAAATAAATAAAACTCAAAAATATGGGAGGTAAAAAAGAGGGAAACAATCGGAACATAAAAGAGTTAGAAAAGTCTGAAGTTCCAAAGAAGAAGGAAGTAGTCAGTGTCAACTACAGCAAAGAAGAAAAATAAGACACGGGTTGAAAATCATCCACTGTATTTGGCAATTGCAAAGTTGTTCATTAGCATCTCTGCTAAAAGCTTTTCAGGGAAAATTAAATTAGTTGATTTTGTACTTAGTTCTAGGTTAAAATAATTAGTATTTCCCCCTTGATATTATTAGAGCAAAAGATAAAGGTAGCAACCACTGACAAACTTACAGTAATCACCACTGAACAAAATCCGCCCAAAGAAAACATGAATCCTTATTTTTGAAGGCCGAAGGCACTTCTAACTCTACAGTCAAGTAATACAGTGAGAGCTGACTTACAGCAACTCCTTATTATTACCTAGGTCAAAGATTTTTGAGCCCTGGTTAGCAATACATAACTTGCCAAACAGCTCTACTGGGATTAAAATTTAAAAGGACCTTCTGAAATGTAAGCAAGTAAGATTTTGTTTTACCTCCGTCTCAGAACATGAGCTATATGAACAACACAAAGAACTCAACTAAAATTTATTTTTGAGAGTAATTTACTTCTCAGTGGACAAATTAAGATGATGCTGACTATACTGGTTATTCTCCATTTCCCCCATTCCCTTCTAACCTTGAAAATTCATCCTCTGCTCTTCTTTGCCTTAAAATCTACAGACTGCATTGCCTGTATTACTCTGTAGCCCTATGATTTTAAGCTTGGTTTCAACCCACAGGAGACACCAGCAGAAATCTGAAGGTAAAAAAAAGAAATATTCATTCTCCCTACACCGTTTGTGCTTCACTATGGTTCTTGCAATGTTCTATGTTTTATATTCCTTTTCTATGATGTCAGGCTTTCTCTGAGCTACAATAAGGTTTTCTCTCTTTGCTCCTTTAGTACAGGGCAATGGCTTCCCACTCTTGTTCATACATGGGTGCTTTAATATACTTTATTGTTTCCCTCTACTGATGTTCACAGCTTGTTAATCATCCCTTCATTAAACTCTTCACTTAATAAATGCATAAAATACGGTGTGCGTGTGTATATATATGTGTGTGTGAGTGTGTGTATGTATATATATGTACACAATGGAATATTACTCAACCTTAAACATGAAGGAAATCTGAATACATACTATTAATATAGATGAATCTTGAAGACAGTATGCTACATGAAAGAAGTCAGTCACATATGGATAAATATTGTATGATTCCATTCATATAAGGTGCCTAGAATAGGCAAATTCATTGAGACAGAATGTAGAATAGTGGCTACCAGGACCTGGGGGGAGGGTGAAATTAGGAGTTATTGTTTAATTGGCATAGATTTTTAGTTTGGGATGATGAAAAGGTTCTTGAGATGGATGGCGGTGATGGCTGCACAACCATGTGAAGGTGCTTAATGCCACTGAACTGCACACTTAAAAATGATCAATATGGTAAATTTCATGTTATGTATATTTACCATACACACAACACTCTCGTTTAAATCTTTTGAACATGTAATCTGTTTGCCTGTCAAGACCCTTAATGACACATTGATATATCATAGTTCCCGATTCCAAAGATTAAAAAAGATGACCTCTGTTAATCTGTGTAACAATTTAGTTTACTAACTGCCTCCAAATATATTATTTCATTTGATGTTTGAGCAAAAAATCAGACCGAAAAGGAGACGGGAGATAAAAGTGCCATAAAAATCTAAGTTCAGCTAACTACAGCTTCACAAACAATACATAAATGTACTATCATACACACAAATATATTACCCACAAAACAATTTTAAAAACAATTTTCTTAATATTAAGAAAATACCTACCAAGCTTTTATCTGCATTGGAGCTAGTCCTGTTATCATTAGGATTTGCTGAAGATAAGTATCTGAGGGAAAGAAAAGTTTAAAAAGAAAACAAAACAAAACTCTTTAATATCCTGTAACAACCAATAATAAATACTACATGCCTATTTTATGTTCAATGTTATAGTAGTTTTGTTTTTAAAAATTAAGTATAGGTTCATAATTTTTATAAACATAATTCAGAAATGATACATATATTAAATAAAACACCCAGTTAGGTCTAAAAATAGTAGCAGCCTGTAAACATATGACTTAATATTCTTGTAGCAAAACATAAGAATATTCATACCAAGCAAGATAAATAAAAAACAAAGTCTCAAGTTAGTTCAGATTAGGCTTTCTGGTCATGACAGCAGGTTATGACAGTTTTTTCTACCAAACAAGTAACTCAAAAACATTCAGTTTTCAGAGCTTTTTGTATATAAGAATTGGGGGTAGGAAATTGCTGACTTCTGCAGACGTATGCACAATCACCTCTCTTGCACCCAACTATCCTTCAGCAAAGCATAATATTGCCTCTTCAGGTCCAAAAAATTTTTGCCTAAGTGGGTGAAATAACAGCACCAAAGTTTAGGTGATGCTGCTAATCTTTTGGGACTCCCGGCTTGCAGAGTTCTTTAAATTCAGTGTACAGTTAGAATTGTATATAAACAAAGCTATTAGTGAACTAATTTAGAGGTCTTTTTTAGATGTCTCACAAGATTCTCAATCTAAATAGATCATATATGTAAACAATTTCCTAAGCTACCAAATATTATATAAAGGTAAGGTACTAGTGCCGCTAGTGTTGCTACTACCACCACCATGCTATGCTACAATTACTATGGCTACAACTACTATAATCACTACTTCTACCATCACCACCACTACAGTCAGCACCCCAATTAACCAGTAGAGCTCTCGCAAAAGGAGATCAAATAGTTATCGTATGCTTCATAGCTATTGGAGGCATCTGTTAACACACCAGATATTAATAATGTTCCAAAAGAACAATTTAAGTAAATTTTAAAAATCAGTGAATAACACAATCCATTACGTATCAATAAAAATACACAGTATAATGGCACTATAAAAGAAACAGCTAGAAATATGCCACTTCCTAGGTTTTCCTTGAAAAATTATTCAGATCAAATGGAGATTCAGACAACTTTAAGACAATAATAGGGGCTATGTAGCAGTTTTATAGAGGAAAAGTCCCATATAACAACTGACAAATTCTGGATGTAGTGCAATTTAATTCCATTGACTATTAAGCATCTCAGAAATTCAATGTGAGATTCTGCTTATGTAATATAAATAAGGCATATAGCAATGCCAGTGAAATCTAAATTAGATGAGACTGTTTCGTCTCCAAGATATTTTCTAAACTTAACAAGCTATGTAACTGAGACTGACATTTTAGTCTTTTGCAAAATTAGTAATAAAAGCTTGAATGCAGCAAGGGAAATGTAAGGACATCACTTGTATACATTAATTCTTCCACCTTCTGTCATTTTCTATCAAGGTACGTTTGCATATTATATTGATGCTTTTACATAGAATCTGGTCATTTAGGTAACTTTTTAAGAAATAGGAGTTACTGTATTAGGAATATAGCTTAAGGCTATTTTAAAAATCAGGTTTAATTCAGCTGTAATTAAGCAGCAATTATTTCTGCGCTTGGTATTAAAAGTATATTTGGATTTCAGGGATAAGAATTTCAGAGGTTTTCTATTTCATATCTGTATATTCTAAATTATGCTTACGTATTACGATAAGGCTAATCAATATTTCTGCCAGGGCCAGGTGCAGTGGCTAACACATGTAATCCAATGGGATTACTTTGGGAGGCCAAGGTGGGTGGATCACTTGAGGCCAGGGGTTTGAGACCAGCCTGGCCAACATGGTGAAACCCCATCTCTAATAAAAATACAAAGATTAGCCAGGCGTGGTGGTAGGCATCTGAAATTCCAGCTACTCAGAGGCTGAGGCACAAGAATCACGTGAATCCAGGAGGCGGAGATTGCAGTGAGCCAAGATCACACCACTGCACTCCAGCCTCGGCGACAGAGTGAGACTCTGTTTCAAAAATATATATATATTTTGTTGGTTCTTTCTTATTAAGAGCAATCATACCTTTGCCTATTCATGTAGTAATTACTTAAAAAATACTACATATATTTGTCAATGGGCTATGACAGTTAAGAACACAGTATATATGGCCAGGTGCGGTGGCTCACACCTGTAATCCCAGCACTTTGGGAGGCCGAGGCGGGCAGATCACAAGGTCAGGAGATCGAGACCATCCTGGCTAACACGGTGAAACCCCGTCTCTACTGAAACTACAAAAAAAAAAAAAATTAGCTGGGCGTGGTGGTGGGTGCCTGTAGTCCCAGCCACTCAGGAGGCTGAGGCAGGAGAATGGCGTGAACCCGGGAGGTGGAGCTTGCAGTGAGCTGAGATCACGCCACTGCACTCCAGCCTGGAAGACAGCGAGACTCCGTCTTGCGGCGGGGAGGGAACCAGTAATAATTTCTACTTTTAAGAAACTTAAAAATTAGTTTGGGCCATAAAACATGAATACAAAGAAAAACTAGAGAACATAATCGAGTGCATGATAATGTAGGACAAATAGTAGAATAAATGTTTATGTAACTCAAGGTTACCATTATACAGAGAAACTTAAAGTTATTAACTGCTGGACTCTACTACAGAAAATACAAAAACATTGGAGGTTGTTTATATCAACAACTTGAGTGTTTCAGAAACCAAATCAAAGAATAATTGATAAGAATACAAAAAGTTAAAGAATGCTTCAGCAGGCTGGGCATGGTGGGTCAGGCCTGTAATCCCAGCACTTTGGGAGGCCAAGGCAGGCAGATCACCTGAGGTCAGGAGTTCGAGACCAGCCTGACCAACGTGGAGAAACCCTGTCTCTACTAAAAACGCAAAATTAGCCGGGAGTGGTGGTGCATGCCTGTAATCCCAGCTACTCGGGAGGCCGAGGCAGGAGAATGGCTGGACCCCAGGAAACGGAGGTTGCAGTAAGCCAAGATTGCATCATTGCACTCCAACCTGGGCAACAAGAGCAAAACTCTGTCTCAAAAAAAACAAAACAAAACAAAACAAAAAAAAACGAATGCTTCAGCAAAAATCACCCTGAAGCTCTTCTGTATATGTATGTTAATTGAAAATAGTTAAAATACTATACTCATGGAGTATTAGGGAGGAAAAAAAGGTAAGTGCCAGCTATCTCACTGATGATGCAACAAAAAGTATTAAGTACTATCTTACAGTGAATTACTGTAGAGGTTTCAAAAAGCCAGACTAAATTGTCTTTCTGATTTCTTAGCTTAACCCGAATGGCTCTAATACTAAAATGACAAGACTCTTCACTTTAAAATAAGATTAGTTATAAAGACCTCAAATGTAATAATTTACTCCAAGCAAATCTGTTATCTGATACCATTCCAAAGGAGTATAATTTGATTAGAAGTACATATTTTTGAGGTAATTAAAAGCAGATTTAACCCACCCAGTAAGTGTTACCATATAGTTCAATGCATTATATTGGTATAGCACTTTGTTTAGATTTCTCCTTCCTTCACTTCCTTCCTTTTTTTTTTTTTTTTGAGACAGTCTCACTCCATTGCCCAGGCTGGAATGCAGTGGCATGATCTTGGCTCACTGCAACCTCCGTCCCCCAGGTTCAAGCAATTCTCCTGCCTCAGTCTCCCAAGTAGCTGGGATTACTGGCATGTGCCACCACGCCTGGCTAATTTTTGTATTTTTAGTAGAGACAGGGTTTCACCATGTTGGCCAGGCTAGTCACGAACTCTTGACCTCAAGTGACCCGCCCACCTCGGCCTCCCAAACTGCTGGGATTACAGGCATGAGCCACCGTGCCTGACCGAGATTTCTACTATGTCGTTCTTATCAACCTATGATGTACAATTTATCCATTTCTCACCAAATGTGAGCCTCTCAAGAGAAGGTACTGTATCTTATTCATCCTTCTCCATGCAATTTGGTGCTTAGTATATACCTGACAAATAATAAGTTATCAAAGATATCTGTGGAATGAACAAATGCTCAGCACATTAAAATAATGTTAAATGTTTAACTTAAATCTCAAGTACATTACAGTAAAGCTAACATGAACTCATACCAATGATAATAATAGTTACACTGAGTGCTTACACCATGCAAAGCACTCTTCTAAATGCTGTACTGTGTTTTAATTTACTTAAACCTTACCGTTGGGAGCAAGCCCCCCAAAAACTGGCCATAAACAAAATCTCTGCAGCACTATAACATGTTCTTAATGGCCCTAACGCCCAAGCTGGAAGGTTGTGGGTTTACAGGAATGAGGGCAAGGAACACCTGGCCCGCCCAGGGCGGAAAACCGCTTAAAGGCATTCTTAAGCCACAAACAATTAGTATGAGAGAACTGTGTCTTAAGGGTGTGTTCCCGCTGCAGTTAACTAGCCCAACCTATTCATTTAATTCTGCCCATCCCTTGTTTCTCATAAGGGATACTTTTAGTTAATTTAGTATCTATAGAAACAATGCTAATGACTGGTTTGCTGTTAATAAATATGTGGGTAAATCTCTGTTCGGGGCTGTCAGCTCTGAAGGCTGTGAGACCCCAGATTCCCCACTTCACACCTCTATATTTGTGGGTGTGTGTCTTTAATTCCTCTAGTACCGCTGGTCTTGGCACTTTACAACAATCCTGTGAGGTAAGTAGGCAAGTAGTATTATCGTTATTATCATCATCCCTATTTTTGAGGAAATTGAGGCATAAAAGGCCAAAGTTATTTGTCCAAGGTCACAGTGGAGATAATACTACATGTTATAACACATGGTAAATTAAATGGGTTTGGGGAGGAATTACTTAATTTTTGAAGAGCTAAAAATTGATAGCATCAATATGGTGATGACAATGCTAGAAAAGTCTACATGCTGGCCAGGCACGGTGGGTCATGCCTGTAATCGCAGCACTTTGGGAGGCCAATGCGGGCAGATCATGAGGTCAAGAGTTCAAGACCAGCCTGGCCAACATGGTGAAACCCCATCTCTACTAAAAATACAAAAATTAGCTGGGTGTGGTGGTGAGCACCTGTAATCTCAGCTACTCGGGAGGCTGAGGCAGGAGAATTGCTTGGACCCAGGAGGTGGAGGTTGCAGTGAGCCAAGATTGTGCCACTGTACTCCAGCTTGGGTGACAGAGCAAGACTCCATCTCCAAAAAAAAAAAAAAAGTCTACATGTTGTTTCAAAATGTATTATAAACCATAAGTCTACAGATCAAAATATCAGTATTTATAGCATCCTTTGACCTATTAATTGTTGTAACTTGAGGATATACAGTATATCATTTAGCAAAAAAATTTTGAAAAACAATGTCCTAAACATGGATGAGTCCAAAATAAATTAAATATGAAATACTGGAGATATCATGCATCAATGAAAAATTGCATAAGGTATATCTTTATATACCATTAAATCTACTTTAAAAATGAATTTTAGACATTTCTAAGAACAAAATCGGCACTTACTCCTACAATCACTGTTTAGCATACTTACCTACGATTGCTATAATATGTAAATCCTACAAAAGGTAGTTGATTGCCAACAAAAGCTTTAGGAATAGGGAATGTTTCTTCCTCTCCTTTATCTTCTTCCAAGTCATCAAAATTACTAGTATCAATGTCACTACTTAAATCAGGTACAACTGGTGCTACAGCTAAAAACAGAAACAAAATTAGTTGCTCATTTCAAACTTAAAATACAAGTAAAGTGAAGCAGATTCCATACCAACTACTGATGGTTTCTCTCTTATAAAAGCTTGCAAACTACAATTCTACCTGGCTTGAATCCTATTATACTAAGCTTTACCAGGATTAAAAATCAACTGATAATTGATCATTATGTAATTCTATGAAACAATTATCTTCAAAGTCACCTATAATTATCTATACTTTGGGTTTAACTTGACTATTACAAATCAAGCATTATTAAGGTTTGTTTTAGAATGTACCAAGGTATAAAATACACAAAAGCATTCAGGACTACAGAAAAAACTTTTTAGAAACTAAAGCATAATAAACCGTACTCGAAAAAATTGTTTATCTTTAAATACAGTATTTTTTGGTTAATCTGCTTTATAGTAAACTAGAAATTAAGGTTACTTCTTAGCTTCCTGGACATAATAATTTGGTAATGAAATATTTTTACTCACTCAGAATCCAGATGATCAATACTCCTCCCTCCCACCCCAGTATCTCCATAAGATTAAGCCACAGGAGCAACGGATTTGGAATTGTATTTTCAGACTAGCTACCTCTAGAATCAAGTGATTAAGATTAATGCGGTGAGGTATTTATGATATCATTGTTAATAAAAAAAAAGGGCAGTAATACAAAAAACAGACACGACATCTTCAAGAATTATAAATTTGATATGGACCAAGTCTTACATATACTTAATATAAAACCATATGTGACAATGTTTAAATATTCATAATATAGGAGAAAATACCATATAAAACTAATACTACTAACATCTACTTCTGGGGCTTGAATGTTAGAAGAGGTATATCTAAAAATAAATTCTAAGAAAATAAAAGTTTAAGAAAATTTATTTTTTAGCTTAAAGATACTGTAGTATAATAAAACATCCCTGAATTATGATCATCAAAATACTAAAAAATTATTTTAGGTGTAACAACCTCATGTTCTTTTAGGGAAAAGGAATCAATTTTCTTTTCAATCATCTGGGTATTTCAGGCAAGAAATACCTCTTGTTGTGCCATCTGAGACACAGTAAATTAATATTTAGGGAACAAAACAACACATTTAGCCGAATGAAGCCATAGTACTAACTAATAGTAACACAAGAGTGAGATTAGAGCTTTTCCACCATTCCACTTTCCTGAATGGCCAACAGAACTGTCTGATTAGACAAGGCTAGCTTTCTAATATTTGTAAAATGAGGGGAAAACACAAATGGTTGCCGCCCTTGGGAAATACATAAGTTAAGTATGGTCTTAGCATAAATTTTATGTTAAAAGAGTGATCTCAATCAGAGACACTTTCGCCTGCTGGAGGGCATTCAGCAATGTCTGGGTACATATTCTGGTTCTCATTAATGGAAAAAAAGTGTTACTGGCACCTAATGAGTACAGTCATGGGATGCCACTAAACATTCTTAAGTTTAGGATAATCCCCACAAAAAGAATTATTTGTCAACTGCTAAGGCTCAGAAAACCTGCTTTAAAATTATATCAGAAAGAGAGAAGCAGAATAAGTGTGCTGCATTTTCTCTTGCTGTTTCTGATGGACCTACTCTTTTTATAAATGACACTATTTCACAGTAGTTCTAAAATGACAAATTCTCACCTGTTTAAATTCTGAGACACAAGTGGGGAAAATATTGGAAGAGTTATAAAAGTAATTATTTCTGCTTCTAAATTAAGATGCTTAGGCTTTACATAATGCCATATAATCACTTCAGAACTAATAAGAATAAAGATAACTTTACGGAATAAACATCAGTATATATTTGTTTAAAAATCTGCCTTCATTAAATAACTGTTAATTTAGAAATCATGTTCCATAAAAAAGAATCCAGCAGATGTTGTCAAAAATGGCAGAGTAGGGAACTCAAAGAAATCATACCTCCACTGAAGCAAATGCTGAGTTGACAAAAACTACCAGAGCAACTTTCTGAGAACTCTGGAACCTAATAAAAAACTAGTAACAAGCAGGGAGTGTTTAATGAAGAAAGAGGTTACAAAAATTTGGCATTTAAGGAAATCTCTGTCACTGGCTGAGATAATGAAATGGAGATTTCAGTGAATACAATGACAATGAATACAGACTTTGCAAAAATAGTTTGGAAAAGTCACTATCACAGCCCACAACAAGCAACAACAGCAAGCCCTGGGTAAAAGAGGAAAAATCTGATTTCCAGAGTTACAACACTGTAATATCCAAAATGTCCCTCTTAGAAGGATACAGCTGCTTTAAAACAATGTCCAGTTTACAACAAAAAATTACAAAGCATGTAAAGAAGCAAGAAAGTATAGGCCATTCACAGAGAATATAGAAAATGATAGAAACCACCACTGAGGAAACCAAGACATTAGATTTACTCAACAAAACCTTAAACTCTTTTAAATGTGTTCAAAAAGCAAACGAACACTATAGACAAAGTACCCGGAAGACGATGTCTTAACAAAGAAAAAATATCATGAAAGAGATCAAAAATAAAACCAAATAGAAAGTCTAGCACTGAGAAGTACAATAGCTGAAGTTAAAATTTCTCTAGAAAGCTTCAACAGCAGATCTGAATAGGCAGAGGAAAAAAATCAGTGAACTTGAAGATAGGACAAATGAAATGATCAAGTGTGAGGAACAGAAAGAAAAAGAATGAAAAAGTGAACAGAGACTAAGGAAACTGTGGCATCAAACCAGACCAACACACAGATTACGGGAATTCCAGAAGGAGAGAAAGGGGCAAAAAGACTATTTGAAGAAATAATGGCCAAATCTTTCCAAATCTGGTAAAATATATAAATCTACACATCCAAGAAGCTGAATGCCAACTATGAAAAACTCCAAAAACTCCACATGAAGACATATCATAATCACATGCCATAATCAAACTGTCTTAACTCAAAGCCACATGAAGAAGAAAAAGGAGTATCAGTAAAGGTAACTATTTAGATAAATGTAAACAGAAGCAGGTTTTTGAAAGCTACTCAAACTAAAGTGGTATCAATTCAACCTAGATTGTTATCAATTTAGAATGTTAACTGTAACTCCATTTAATTAATAAGAAAATGACTAAAAAATATACAGAAAAGGAAAAGAAGGAATCAAAATAGCATACTAAGGTAAAAAACTAAGCACAAAAGAAAGCAATAATGTATTATCTGAGGAATAAAAAGGAAATATATGACATAGAAAACAGCAAGATGACAGAAGTCTTTTCTTATCAGTATTCACTTTACATTTAAATAGATTAAACTCACCAATTAAAAAGCTGAGATGAGTAGAATGCAATAAAAAATGATTCAACTGTATCTGTCTATAGAGACTCGCCTAAGATCCACAGACATAGGTTAAAAGGTTACTTGACCTTCATCCACAGGTTAAAAGTAATGGAGGGAAAAAGATATTCCATGCAAAAGGGAGCTAAAGTGGCTACATTAACAGGAGACAAAACAGACTTTAAATAAAAAACTGTCAAAAGAGGCAAAAAAGGACACTGCATATTAATTGATAAAAGGCTCAATCCATTAAGAAAATATAATGACTATAAAAATGTATGCATCTAATACAGACCCAAAATGTAAGAAGCAAAAATAGCCATGAATGCAGGAAAAAACCATTCTAAAATAATAGTCTGACATAGTTTCATAGCTTGTCCCCACAAATGTCATGTTGAAAAGTAATCCCCAATGTTGGGGGGCGGGGCTAGTGGGATGTGACTGGATCACAGAAGAGGATTTCTCAAGAATGGTTTAGCACCATCCCCTTGGTGTTGTCCTCAAAACAGTGAATGAGTTATTGCCAGATCTGGTTGTTTAAAAACGTGTGTGTCATCGTCCCTCTCACCCTCTTTCTTGCTCCTGGCTCTTACCATGTGATGGGCCTGTTCCCACTTTGACTTCTGCAATGAGTAAAAGCTCCCTGAGGCCTCTCCAGAAGCTGAGCAGATGCCAGCAACATGCTTGTACAGCCTGCAGAACCATGAGCCAATTAAAACTCTTTTCTTTATAAATTACCAGTCTCAACAATGGATAGAACATATAAATAGAAGATCAATAAGAAAATAGAAGATATTAACAACTTCACAAACCAACTAGATGTAACAGGTGTGTACAGAACACTCAACAACAGCAGAATACACATTTTTCTCAAGTGTATATGGAACACTTTCCAAGACAGATTATAAGCTGGGCCAAAAAACAAGTCTTAAAAAGTTTTAAAACACTGAAATCATACAAAGTATCTTCTTTAACCACAAGGGAATGAACCAAGAAGTCAATAATAGGAAGAAAACTGAAAGTTTCACAAATATATGGAAATTAAACAAAACACTCTTAAATCACCAGTGACTGAAAGAAATAATCACAGGAAGACTAAATACTTTGAAACAAATGAAAATGGGAAGACTAAATACTTTGAGACAAATGAAAATGAAAACAACATACCAAAATGTATGGGAGTCAATGAAAGCAGTGCTCCAGTGGAAATTTTACCCATAAATGTCTATTATACTAAAAACCAATGATCTCAAGCTAATAACCCAACTTGACACTACAAGGAACTATAAAAAGAAAAGCAAATTAAACCAAGAGCCAGCAAAAGGAAAGAAAGAATACAGATTGGAGTGCGTAGAAATAAAACTGAGAATAGAAAATCAATAATGCAAATTAACAAAACTAAAAATCGGTTCTTTATAAAGATCAGCAAAATTGACAATCCTTCTACTGAACTAAGTGGGGAAAAAAAACCCAGAAGACACAAACAACTAAAATAAAAAATGAAAGTAGGGGGATAACTACCAACCACATAGAAGTAAAAAGAAAATACAATGCATAATCGTACAGTGACTTTTTTTTTCTTTTCTTTTGGACACAGAGTCTTGCTCTGTCACCCAGGCTGGAGTGTAGTGGTGCAACCTCAGCTCACTGTAACCCGTGCTTCCCGGGTTCAAGTGATTCTCTGCCTCAGT